AGGAGTTTGAAACCAGCCTGACCAACATGGTGAAACCCTGTCTCTACTAAAAATACAAAAATTAGCCAGGTATGATGGTGTGCACCTGCAGTCCCAGCTATTTTGGAGACTGAGGTAGGAGGATCGCTCAGGCCTGGGAGACTGAGGCTGCAGTGAGCCATGATTGCATAGCTGCACTCCAGCCTGGATGACAGAGCAAGACCCCATCTCAAAAAAAATAAATAAATAAGCAAGATTCTGAATCAGCAGTGCTGGTAATGGGGCCAGGAAGTGAAAAAAAAAATTTTTTTTTTTTTTTTGAGATGGAGTTTCACTCTTATTGCCCAGCTGGAGTGCTATGACTCGATCTCAGCTCACTGCAACCTCTGCCTCCCAGGTTCAAGCGATTCTGCTTCCTCAGACTCCATAGTAGCCGGGATTACAGGTGTGCACCACCATGCCTGGCTAATTTTTTTTTTTTTTTTTTTTTTTAGTAGAGATGGGGGTTTCTCCATGTTGGTCAGGCTGGTCTCGAACTCCTGACCTCAGGTGATCCACCTGCCTTGGCCTTTCAAAGTGCTGGGATTACAGGTGTGAACCACTGCTCCTGGCCAAGAAGTGAAATTTTAACAAGCACCCAGGTGATTCCAAGGTAGCAGTTCATGGAGCAATACAGGCTTGGAGGGACTCCAGAGGAAGCTGGGGAGAGGAGAGTTTACTCCTTCAGGGGCTCTTTTTCTTTTCTTTCTTTTTTTTCTTTTCTTTTTTTTTTTTTTTTTGTGTGTGTGTGAGAAGGTGTTTTGCCCTGCAGGTCCAGACTGGAGTGCAATGGTGCGATCTCAGCTCACGGCAACCTCTTCTTCCCAGGTTCAAGTGAGTCTCCTGCCTCAGCCTCCCAAATAGCTAGGGTTACAGGCATGTGCTATCACACCTAGCTAATTTTCTATTTTCAGTAGAGATGGGGTTTCTCCAGTTGGTCAGGCTGGTCTCGAACTCCCAACCTCAGGTGATCCACCTTCAAGGGCTCTAACTATGCTTGCCTATCTCCCACCACGGGAATGGCAGCCCTGCTGAGTGAGCCACAGATGTGTGGTTAGGGTAATGGCATCACTGACAGAACACTAAGCTCTGCCCACCCCCAACCTCTTTGAGGACTGGCTGTCCCTGCCCGATGGCCCCAGCCCTGGCTGGGTTAAATTGGGAGCTTGTTAAAGATCCAGCCGTCTGGCCGGGCGCGGTGGCTCATGCCTGTAGTCCCAGCACTTTGGAAGGCCAAGGTGGGTGGATCATGAGGTCAGGAGTTTGAGACCAGCCTGGTCAAGATGGTGAAATCCCGTCTCTACTAAAAATATTTAAAAAATTAGCCAGGCATGGTGGCGAGGGGCAGGTGACCCAGATGTGTTAAGATGAGGTTAGGGAGCGGGGAAGGAAATGGAGAGGGGCAAATCCTGTTTCCTTGAGGTTCCACCCTCAGAGCAGGCCCAGACCCATTCACAACCTCCCACACACTTCCTCCTACCTCCACTGGGCCCCAGGGAAGTGGGAGGGGCCAGAAGGTGAAGCTGGCTGCGGCTGCTCCAGTAAGCAGCTGAGAAGCCACAGCCATAGGGGTGGGGGGAATTCAGATGACTGGAATGCCAAAGGCAGCAGCAATTCTCCTGCCTTAGCTTCCTGAGTAGCTGGGACACAGACACGCACCAACACGCCCGGCTAATTTTTATATTTTTAGTAGAGATGGGAGTTTCACTATGTTGGCCAGGGTGGTCTCGAACTCCTGACCTCTAGTGATCCTCCTGCCTCAGTCTCCCAAAATGCTGGGATTACAGGTGTGAGCCACCGCACCGGGCCTACATTTCATTTTAAAGGTGCAGTTCCCACTTTACATACTAGGATACTAACGCTGAGTTGATGTTTCCAGCTGTACCTGGCTGCCTCCTTCCACCCCATCTCTGCCCACAAAGGCCCTCTTGCCAGCAGTTGGCCCTGAAGCTGGGGAGCCTATGTGCTCCATTAGTCACAGAAAACAAAAAAAGTGGGTCATCCAGCCTTTCATTCTCTCTGGGTCCTGGCGCTCCTCCAGCAAGCCTTCCCTGTCCAGACAGCTCCCCTTAACCTATTCAGGGATGAAGGGGCATGAGAGGATGGCACTGTCATAGCCACAGCCCCGCCCTGGAGGCCAGTCTTGGCTGTGCTGCCTCAAGTCAATGCACAGCACACACCCCTCCCCAGCCAGGTCATCACAGAGATTGCTCCAAGCAGGGTTATAAGAATGTGCCGGGACCACCGCTGATCTTCCGAGTGGGTCTATCACTAAAATGCACCAGAAAGGAAGTGGGAAGACTTTGGTCCATCTAGGTAAATAGGATGTCCTGACTGAAGCCCAAATTCTTCATATGCCATTATGATCTCCCTGGTCTCATCTCACCTCACGTCTGTGCTCCAGGCACAACAAACATTATTCAGTCCCATGAATGGGCTAGGCTCTTCCCTCTAGGCCTTTGCACATGCTGTTTCCTCTGACTGAAACACCTTTCCTCAAGTCCTTCCCATTCTGTGCCAGACACTGTTGTTTCCAGTAGGCATTCTTTCATCCTTGCCAACAAAACTTTATTTTATTGGAAACAGGTGCCCAATCCCAAGGAGTAAGTTTTGGTGTATTGCCCATTCATTCTCCTTGGTGGCTCTCCCAGCCAAACTTACCAACATGGGTCCATGTGACCCATTTTCTTTTTTTTTTTTTTTTCTTTTTTGAAACAAGAGTCTTACTCTGTCACCAGGCACCAGGCTGGAGTGCAGTGGCACAATCTCGGCTCACTGCAACCTCCGCCTCCCGGGTTCAAGCAATTCTTCTGCCTTAGCCTCTCGAGTAGCTGGGACTACAGGCGCACGCCACCACGCTCAGCTAATATTTGTATTTTTAGTAGACACGGGGTTTCACCATGTTGGCCAGGATGGTCTTGACCTCTTGACCTTGTGATCCACTCGCCTCAGCCTCCCAAAGTGCTGGGATTACAGGCTTGAGCCACTGCGCCCGGTGATGTGACCCATTTTCTAACCAGTGACATCTTCCGGGAAAAATTTTGCTTCCTGGACAACTTATTTCTATTTGGTAGTTGTTAAAAGATGTGGTGCTAGAACCTTCTTACAACTATGAAATGCCAAGCCCTCCAGAGAGGATGGAGAAGCATAGTAAGAGCTTGCGTCCTTGGAGGTATTACTGAATGAATGACACCACCACAAACAATACCTGAAACCACCTGTATCCTCTTATGGAAGTAAAATATTCCTCTAATTCTTTTTGCTAGTTATCCCTTGCAGCTAAAACATTCCTAACTGATGTATCAGCCCTGGGTTCCAGTTTTTTTGTTTTGTCTTGAGACAGAGTTTCACTCTTGTTGCCCAGGCTAAAGTGCAATGGCACGATATTGGCTCGCTACAACCTCCACCTCCTGGGTTAAAGCAATTCTTCTGACTCAGCCTCCTAAGTAGCTGGGATTACAGGCATGTGCCACCACACCTGACTAATTTTGTAATTTTAGTAAGAGATAGGGTTTCTCCATGTTGGTCAGGCTGGTCTCTAACTCCCAGCTTCAGGTGATCTGCCTGCCTCAGCCTCCCAAAGTGCTGGGATTACAGGTGTGAGCCACCGTGCCCAGCCGAGTTCCAACTTTTAAAGGGGCCACTTTCTCCAGGAAATATTCCCTGGCTGCTAAAACCGAGATCAAGGGCCCCCTCCTTGGAGCAGTGGACACAGTCTCATTGCCTGTGTGCCCCAGCTGTGAGACAGGCAACAGGGGTCCTGAGGTGTTCACCATTTCTAAACCAGTATATTTGTTCAATGAATAAACACATCTGATATGATTTGAATTTGTGTCCCCGCCCAAATCTCATGCCCAACTGTAATCCCCCAATTGGAGGAGGGACCTGGTAAGAGGTGATTGGATCACAGGGGCGGCACCCTTTGCTGTTCTTGTGATAGTGAGTTCTCCCTATCACTGTCTCATGGTAGTGGGATCTGGCCGTTTCAGTATAGCACCTCCCCCTGCACGCTCTTCCTCCTGCTCTGGCCATGTAAGACGTGCCTCCTTCCTCTTCATCTTCTGCCTCAATTAAGTTTCCTGAGGCCTCCCCAGCCATGCTTCCTGTACAGCCTGTGAAACCACGAGTCAATTAAACCTCTTTTCTTTATAAATTACCCAGTCTCAGGTAGTTGTTCATAGCACAGTGAGAACTAATACCCATAGCTAATTGCTGGCACAGCCTCCTTGAGGGCAAAGGTAAGTTTGCAGATGGCTGAACTAAACCACCACCACTTAAGCTCTAAGGAAGGGGTGTGTGTACCCACATCCTGGAGTGAGATGGGGGTCACTTTGCTTTGCCTGGCTAGAAAAGATCATTGCCCCTACTCAGGACAGTCTGCATTACCTCACGGAATGTATCACTTCAGCAGGGCAACTAAACATTTCCTCCCTCTGCCTCGGTCCAGTTTTAGCCAGAGACACACCCACCCATCCACCCACCCACTCACCCCTGTGCTCTACTTCATGTATGGTTTGGATGTGCTCAGCTGTACTTGGAAGGACAGTAAGACACCCAAGCCTCTGTCCTCTCCCATAAAAAAATCAAAGTTGCACTTCTCATGATATTAAAAGACATTGTGCCTTTCGTAGTCATGGTGCCTGTTTACTCGTCTACAAGACATTGCAAAAAGTAAAGTCTAGTTTTGAGTTACCTAGTTTCTTGTATCTTCACATTTCAAGTGTCACCTTTCCACGTCTCACTTTAGGCCCCACCGGAGGGCTGATTCTGTGGCTGGAAGCAAGCCGGCCTTTGAGCTGGACGCTTCATGTTACTTCATTTAATCCTCAAAACAATCATTATCTTCATTTTACACAGAAATAATAGTTTTGTAGATGAAGACACTACGGTTTGCTCAGGTCTGTCCAATCGCAAAGCATTTCGGGGTTGAGCCAAGCCAGACAAGGGACCCAAAAGGGATAGTACAAGGAGGAATACATCAATAGTTTGGGTATAAAAATTTATTATACATAAAGAACATTACCACTAACAAATGCAGACAAGCTATGACACCATGGTACTGGATGGAGGACAGCTAGCTCTTTGGAAAGTGAAAGGTTTGGGTGGCGTGGGCCTTATGCCACGCTGATTGGTCAGTAGACGGGAGGGCACATGCCAAACGCCACAGGGCACCAGGGCAGCAGGTGCCTGCTCTGAGTGTCCACAAGTGTTCCCTGTCTCATCTGGGGCTTCAAAGGGAGCACACCCAAAAGCTAGCAACTGAAGCGAAGGGGCTTCCTAAGATACCCCAGGCCTGTCTCTGCAGTCACAGCAACACCATTTTAAGCAATATGTTTAATTGGATGATTTCCACAAACTATCCACGAAGTTTCTAACCATCACAATTCAGTGAAGTACAAAACATTAAGTTACAGGCTGTGAGAAGAGAAGGCAGCACCAGTGGTGGCACCTTCCAATCCTGGTGGTTCTAGGGGCAGGGAGAGGGGAAGGTCTTCTTTTTAAACCAAGCCCCTCATTTCAATGTACAAAAGAATTACTCTGATCGATATTAAATTGTATTGAAAACAAAATGGACTAAAAAGCAAATACTACTCTATGTTGGGGCGGAAGTGGGAGGAAAGAATGAGTCCTTCAAAGCAGGAAGGGAGACAGCAGGGGGAAGGTTCTGTGCCTGTGACCCTGGGCGGTCACTCACGCTGCTCCATTTTTACTTTTGGTGGTCTCAGGAAGGTCCGATTTTTCTTCTCTTTCTTCCCCTTTGTATTGGCTTGGAAATTTCGCCAGCTGTCTACACGACCATCTCGACTTTCCTAAGCACAAAGAAGTTTGAGGTGAGGAGACCAGTTAATAAGTGGAAAGGCCTAAACCTGCCCTGCCATCCACCCACCCTCCTGTAGCCCAGCCCAGTTCAGTCCTCTGAAATAATCCAAGGGTAGAACAGAGCTTTCTTCCCACTCCCATGGGCCCAAGAAAGTGTCATAGCGCCCCTAGAAAGCAGGATGAGCTGCAAGTTGAAAGAGGAGGACGAAATGAGTAATAATCATCACAATACCGAGGCCCCATTTGTTGGGGACCTCAAGGCTAGACGTTTAGCATATGGTATTTCTAATCTTCACCAAAAGCTGACTATGGTGTGTACTGCCACCAGCGCTTCACAAATGATAACACTGAGGCTCAAAAAGGTTATATTATCTTCTCAAAGCCACACAGCTAGCTAGCAGTATAGCTACTCTTTCCATTACAGCTTTCTGCTGCCCCCCAAAACTTGGATGGCTGCTCCGAAGCCAGTATAATGCCGAGCCAGTTGTGCAGAGCTGGTCACTAGGACCTCTACCTCATTATCATTTTTTCTCTTTTCATACATGAAGTGGAACAGAAACAAAGTCATCAACTCTGATTAACCAGCCCCTAAGCATGAGTCCTAAACCCTATAGAAGATAAGACTGAATGTTGCCACAATCCAGAAACTGGCCACACACCTGAAGGATATAACCACGGTGTCAAAGAAGAGTCAAGTTCAAAAGTTTTAACTCTCTCTACAGGCAGGACACTGGGGCCACAAGAACTTCAGCATCTACTAAGAGATCTCTAAGCAGGGCACTACTCTATGTTTACCCCTAAATTAACAGTGCAACCCATTGTTCCGGAGCCCACTGGGCAGCTGTGCCTACTACAATCTTAAAAAACCATTCAGGGTGAAAATGTTAGTGTGCTGTAAAAAGAAATTAAATAATAATTTTTTTAAAAAATTTAAAAAGCCATTCAGGCCTCCTCACTGCCTTTGCCAAGGCTACGGAGCTCGCAGGAGGCTGAGCCGGGACCAGCCTCATTCTTCACAGCTCCCCCTCTTCCCCATATATCCCACTTCCCTCTGACTGCCCCACTCAGTCCTGGGAGTGCCACAGGAACCAAGCCGCCTTAATCTGGAATTAGAATCCCTGGCCACCATGGAAATTTACCTCAAAGTTTTTCTGCCACTCTCTTTCTCGTTTGGCTTTTTCTTGAGCTTCGATCTCTTCCTCCCTTTGTCGTTTCCTGGGAGGAAAACCAGATCATAGCATTCATGTGATACTTACAGACTGAATTAACCATACAAGACGGCATCTCCCCACAGAAGCAAGCATATATAGTAAATCAGCACCCTAGAAGTCTACAAAGACAGCTGTCTGCAAAGGACTCAAAGTACATTCATGAATGTCTCAGTCTAAAACACGCAGATGAGACTGTGGGCACGGCTCTGGGGAAAGACATAAATATCCCTATTACACAGATAAAGTAACCAAAGCCAAGCCAACAGCAATCTGAGGTTTTGGGCTCTGTCAGTGACAAAGCTATGTCGAGAACACAGGCCACCTTATTTCAGCAGAATGACCATTACAAACCCAAAGTTCTTAAGTTCTCTGGACAAAACCCTATTCCAAAACAAGGACATTTCACATAACCTCAAATAGCAAATTTTAGTTACTGCTACACACCAAGCAACAATATAAAATACACACAGAAACAAAACTCGGCCAGGTATGGTGGCTCGCTCCTGTAATCCCAACACTTTGGGAAGCTGGGGTTGGCAGATCACCTGAGATCAGGAGTTGGAGACCAGCCTGATCAACATGGTGAAACCCCATCTCTACTAAAAATGCAAAAATAATGCCCTTAATAACTGCTTATTTTACTCCAGGATGTCAGAAAGAACACAAGCCTCTTGATTATAAATAAACTCCCTAAGGACAGAGCTATTCAATAATTCCCAACAGTCAAAGAAGAAACTTCTTACCCTGGTATTCAAATGCTTGACTGTTTTTAGGTAACTATTTTTACAGTCTCTTAAATGATATACTACATCATTTGTTCATTAGGAAAATCACCAAAGACCAATGTTAGTTAATCTAGGTATTTAAACATGGTTTAAATGAAGACACTGCTATGTACCTTTCATGCATCTCTTTGGCTTCTCTCTCTTTCCTTTTAATTTCCAGCTCGGCAAAGAGTTTCATTGTCTGTTTATATACAGCTTGTTTGAACTACAAGAAAATCAAGAACAAAAGAAAATCAGAGTAAATATTTTTATCAGCAACTTGAACCATGTACCTTTCACTTGAAGCCCAAGATAAAGCAGATTAAAACCTGGCACGGGCTGGGCACAGTGGCTCACACTAGTAATTCCAATACTTTGGGACGCCAAGGCAGGAGAATCACTTAAGGTCAGGAGCTCAAGACCAGCCCAGGCAACATAGCGAAACTCTATCTTTACAAAAAATATTTCTTAAAAACTAGCATGCAGGCCGGGCATGGTGGCTCACACCTGTAATCCTAGCACTTTGGGAGGCTGAGGCAGCAGATCACCTGAGGTCAGGAGTTCAAGACCAGCCTGGCCAACATGGTGAAATCTTGTCTCTACTAAAAATAGAAAAATTAGCCAGGCGTGGGGGCACATGCCTGTAAATCCCAGCTATTCAGGAGGCTGATGCAGGAGAATCACTTGAACCCAGGAGGCGGAAGTTGCAATGAGCCAAGATTATGCCATTGCACTCCAGCCTGGGCAACAAGAGCGAAACTCTATCTCAAAAACAAATAAACAAATACTAGCAGGGCATGGTAGTGCACACCTGTAGTTCCACCTTTTCAAACGACTGAGGCAGGAGGATCACTTGAGCCCAGGAGTTTGAGACCACCCTAAGCAACATAGTGAGAGCCCAACTCTACAAAAAATAATAAAAATAAAACATTAACCAGGTGTGGTGGCACACACTTGTAGTCCCAGCTATTCAGGAGGCTGAGGTGGGAGGACTGCTTGAGCCCAGGAGGTCAAGGCTGCAGTGAGCCAATACTATGCCACTGCACTCCGGCCTGGACTCTAGAGCAAGATTCCACCTTTTTTTTTTTTTTAAAAAAAAAGTATACTGACAGTCTTACAAAGATAGGAACACAAGCTATTATTATTTGTTATTATTATTTTTGAAACAGGGTCTCAATCTGTTGCCCAGCCTAGAGTGCAGTGGTGTGATCATAGCTCACTGCAGCCTTAAATGCTTAGGCTGCAAAGATCCTCCCACTTCAGCCCCCAAAGCACTCGAATTATAGATCTGAGCCACCAGAGGTTATTATTAGAATGTATAATATCCACTAAGGTGGGAGGATCACTTGAGCCCAGGAGGTCAAGGCTGCAGTGAGTTAAGATCATGCCACTGGCCAGGCGCAGTGGCTCACGCCTGTAATCCCAACACTTTGGGAGGCTGAGGAGAGCAGATCACGAGGTCAGCAGATCGAGACCACCCTGGCTAACATGGTGAAACCCCGTCTCTACCAAAAATAGAAAAAACTACCAAGGTGTGATGGCACACGCCTATAGTCCCAGCTACTAGGGAGGCTGAGGCAGGAGAATCACTTGAACCTGGGAGGCGGAGGCTGCAGTGAGCCAAGCTCACGCCACTGCACTCCAGCCTGGATGACAGAGTGAGATAACATCTCAAAAAAAAAAAAAAAAAATCACACCACTATACTCCAGCCGGGGTGACAGAGGGAGACCCTATCTGTAAAAAGAAGTACAAAAAATAAGTGAAGGTAAGTGACCCAGCCCCCTGTTACACCAAGTAACAAATCACAATCCCCTCCCTACCAGTTTTTAATTCTTTATTTTCAAGAGTTCTCTTTTTTTTTTTTTTTTTTTTTTTTGAGACGGAGTTTCACTCATGTTACCCAGGCTGGAGTGCAATGGCGCGATCTCGGCTCACCGCAACCTCCGCCTCCTGGGGTCAGGCAATTCTCCTGCCTCAGCCTCCTGAGTAGCTGGGATTACAGGCACGCACCACCATGCCCAGCTAATTTTTTGTATTTTTAGTAGAGACGGGGTTTCACCATGTTGACCAGGATGGTCTCGATCTCTTGACCTTGTGATCCACCCGCCTCGGCCTCCCAAAGTGCTGGGATTACAGGCTTGAGCCACCGCGCCCGGCTTCAAGAGTTCTTAAGAATAGAGCTTATGTTCTTACTGTACCTTTAATTTTTTTTCTCCAGATATAAAGTATTTTAAATATACATGGAAGTACAAAACTAATCCACCATGCAGATTTAATAGGGCCTATATTCTAAAATCAGACACAAAGAGTGATATATGGAGAGAAAGGAAAATTTAAAAGTCCCTAAATTTCTGTGACTTCCCTTTTATCCTGTTACCTGCTAGACACTGCTCACTAAAAGCAATGCTTCAAACCCCACTCCCTAATAAAAACAAACATCAAAGGGATAAAGGAGTCTGTAATGAATAGTTCAGTATCTTTAAAAGCTCCAAACACTGGATAGACAGACACTGGTGATTTCATATTTTTTATATTTCTCTGCTTTTTCCATATTTTCTATCATTAGCATGCATTCTTTTATATTCAGGAAAAAAAAAAAAACTGAAAAAAGTTAGGCCAGGTGCGGTGGCCCACGCCTGTAATCCCAGCACTTTGGGAGGCTGAGGTGAGAGGATCACTTGAGGTCAGGAGTTTGAGACCAACCTGGCCAACATGGTGACATCCTATCTATACTAAAAATATAGAAATTAGCCAGGCATGATGGCGGGCACCTGTAATCCCAACTACTCAGGAGCCTGAGGCAGGAGAATCACTTGAACCTGGGAGGGGGAGGTTTCAGTGAGCTGACTTCGTATCACTACTCTCCAGTCTGGGTAACAGAGTAAGACTCTGTCTCAAACAAACACATACATAAATAAATGTATATTTATATGTTTTAAGTTCAAATAAAATGTTAAAAATATGTGAAATGAATAGCACATATTTATCATTCTTTTGGCTTCTGTCTCTATAACCCACCCATTTGTAGACTTAAACACACAAGATACAATGGCTTCTCCCATATTTAACTCACCAGCTCAGGATCATCCTCCTCTACAATCGTAGGTTTTCCTTCCTTCTTTAATTGTTTTTTTCGCTCTTTCACCTAAAAAGAATTTTTTTTCATCAAAAGATGAGCACCTGTGCTTTGAATATATCCACTGGGCTGTACACATACAATATATGTAACTTTCTGTAGGCACAGGTATAGAACAAGTTTCCATTAAAAAAAATAATCAGCCCCTCCCCTCCCTTCTCAAAAGAACAATGGAATCAAGAAAAATTAGGAACCACAAGTCCTTTTTCTAACCTCATCTAAAATCCAATCTACCAGGAAGAATGAAAGGGGACCAATGGGAGGTTGTCCCCAACTCATCAGATCCAAAAAGTCTTTGATGAAATAAAACTGACTATTCATTTATCTTTCTTGGCTTGTGGTTATGTGTTTACAGCAAAGAAAATATATTTGTCAAGTTTTAGAAGAAGCTACAGAATTTGTGGCAAGTACTGTTTTTCTGGCATTTCTATAACTGCATTCTCGATCATTTTCACTGTGGAACCCTCTTAAAACACACATTATATTAACTGATACTTTTACCACTTTGGCCACTACTGAGATTAAAAAAAAATTAAATATACCCATTCATACAAGGATGACACTACTCCATGTACTGACCAGTCTATTATACCAGCAAAGGCCAAGTGCCCTCTAAGTTCAGAAAGGCCCTATTGCCACCCTGTGGTCAGGAAGCCTAATGACTTTCTTGCAGGCAAAAGACATAGGAAGGGTAACTACCATAATGATTTCAAGAGAAACTGTCAGGCACTTTTCCTATTTCTACCACGATAAGGCCTATAAGCGCCATTTCCAACACATGACTGGCAGGACATAGTTACGGGCCCTTTGTTTCCTTTTTTTTTTTTTGAGACGGAGTTTCGCTCTTGTTACCCAGGCTGGAGTGCAATGGCGCGATCTCGGCTCACCGCAACCTCCGCCTCCTGGGTTCAGGCAATTCTCCTGCCTCAGCCTCCTGAGTAGCTGGGATTACAGGCATGCGCCACCATGCCCAGCTAATTTTTTGTATTTTTAGTAGAGATGGGGTTTCACCGTGTTGACCAGGATGGTCTCGATCTCTTGACCTCGTGATCCACCCGCCTCGGCCTCCCAAAGTGCTGGGATTACAGGCGTGAGCCACCGCGCCCGGCCCTGTTTCCTCTTCTTATCCATTTTCCTCACCGAAACTGGATTCATTATTATGGTTATTAAGTTCTGTTTCAGATTCCAAAGCTCTTCAAGTGAAATGTCACATCCACATTCAATCACAATTGAAACAGCTCTTATAAATGGCCACAAGATTCTTGCCCCAGCAAGTAAAAAGTTAAAAGACCTTTCTTACCTCAGGAAAGCCATACTGTCATTTCCCACCACATGGGAGATTTATGTGTCCCCTCAAGAGCAAACAAAAGTAACACCAGCTATAACTTAATTTCCTTCAATTGAGTTCTTCCCAACTCTTATTATGATGGACATAAACCTCCTCCTATTTTAAAAAAATTTACACCTATCCTCCTGCTAGCCTTTGTCAAGCCTTGTTCCAAACCCTTCACAGGGACAAGAATAAAAATCAAGGGTCAAGGGTCACAGGCTGCTCCACATTTCCAATGTAAGAATGGGGTAAGTGGCAATATGCAATGAAGGGGAAAGAACAACCCTTTCTCCCCAACACAGCACTGGTGGGGAAAGAGGTAGGAGCAGTGTCCTAGCTACTCCTCACCTGAGTTCTTCTTTTCGGGGTGAATTACAGCTTCAGGCACACACTATTCATGACCACCACCACAAAATGGTGGAGAGCATGTTAAGTAGCCACAAGTTGTGCCAGTAGGCATTACTATGTTAACATGTACCCTCCTACAAGGTGCCCAAGGCTTGCTGATACTTCCTGTAAACACAGCAGCACTATAAATACTTACAGTGTGTTCCACGTATTCTTTTCCTGCCTGAATTACATCCAGGGCCCTCTTCTTTTGCTCCTGATCCAGTAGCAACTTGTAAGCTTTGTCCACAGCTAATGCAAAACATTGAAATTAACTGTTTCTGCAAACACCCTCTGAAAGTCTGAACTATACTCAGGTAGTGTAAATGGACTTGTGCTGTCTAAAGCATTCCCTACTTTAATTATTTACTGTCGTTAAACTAATTTTAAAAAAACATTCAACTATAGCAATGACTTTCTTTGAGAGCCTGGGAAAAAATTAAATATATACTCAAGGCTTTAATACACCACATCTGGATTTAATTCAGTGATAAAATTCTTTATGTTCAAAGAAAAAAAAAAATGATCCTATGCAATAACAGTCTTTGTTGGCATATAAAAGTTTTAACAAAGCAAAGTTAAGGTCTACTTCTAAAACAGCAACATTCTGCTTTGAAATGGCAACTGTTCTAATGTAAACCACAGCTTCTTGGTGACCAGAAGACAAAACTATAACAGTCTTTGCTTGATCTAGGACAAGGAACAGTTAGGCCCTGCCATTCACAATCTAAACTCAGAAGCAGGTAAATTTACAAATACCTTCAAAAGCCTTTTGTGCTCTGTCAGCATCATCTTGATTTTTGTCAGGATGCACCAATATGGATAACTACAATAAGGGAAAAGTTGGAGTTGTCAATAAGAGAAACATTGACTAATTTCCAGCCTGCCATGTCTTGTTACAACCAAAAGCTCTAAGGTCCTACAGCAAAAAGAGACTCTTAGCAAGATACATTTTTTAAAAATTAACAAAGCTCTTTAAATGCCCAGAAATACTAATCTTTAACAAACTTCAAGCACCAAAAGGTAAATGTACAACTAGGAAAAAACTAGGTTTTAATCACAATGTTGAGAACAAACGTGCCAGGCACAGAGGATCGCGCCTGTCATCCCACCACTTTGGGAGGCTGAGGTGAGAGAATTACTTAAGCCCAGGACTTCAAGACCAGCCTGAGAAACATAACAAGACCCTGTCTCTACAAAAAAAATTTTTTTTAATTAGCCAGACGTGGTGGTACTGGCCTGTAGTCCCAGCTACTTAGGAGGCTAAGGTGGGAGAATCACTTGAGCCTGGGAGGCTGAGATTGTGCCGTTGCACTCCATCCTGGGCAACAGAGTGAGACCATGTCTCCAGAAAAAAAAAAAGAGAAAGAGAACAAATGGAAGCCTAGCACTACAAAGACGTTGTAATAATTTGGGGGAGGAGGGAAACTTAAAAGTATCAAGTTCCTACCATGTTCCTTATGCAGGCTGAGCACCCAAAATCCAAAATGCTCCAAAATCTGAAACTTTTTGAGTGCTGACATGACACTCAAAGGAAACACGCATTGGAACATGTTGAATTTTCAGATTAGGGATGCTCGATTATTATGCATTCCATAAATATTCCAAAATCTGAAAAAATCTGAAACACTTCTAGTCTCAAACATTTCAGATTAGGGATACTCAACCTGTACTGAGCACTAAGGTGGCTAAAGCAGGTTTGAGACATCACCACTCTCCTAAAATAACTTCTAACCTAAAGCAGTGTTTCTCACTCTGGCTGTGCTCCAACCCTGTGAAGCTTCTAAAAAACACAGCAGTCTAATTTCCACCCTCAGACCTTCTGAGTCAGTCTCTGGCATCTGCACTTTGTAAACCTCTACTAGACTGGGTTTCAGATAATCGTAGGGAATTAGTGCTCGTTCATTTTGTTAGGTGGGAGGTGGTTATGCAAGAAAATGTCCTTTTTTTTTATTTTGGAAGGATACATGCTGAAGTAGTCAGAGGCAAAGGATCATGGTCTACTGCAATTTACTTTACAATGATTCAGCCAAAAACATATAGTTAAATACACAGTTAATGTCAACCAGGTGCGGTGGCTCACGCTTGTAATCCCAGTACTTTGAAAGGCCAAGGCTGGCAGATCACTTGAGGTCAGGAGTTTGAGACCAGCAGCCTGACCAACATAGTAAAACCCTGTCTCTACTAAAAATACAAAAATTAGCCGGGCATGGTGGCACACATCTGTAATCCCAGCTACTCGGGAAGCTAAGGTAGGAGAATCACTTCAACATGCAGGGTGAAGACTGCAGTGAGCCAAGATCGCAACACTGCACTGCAGCCTGGACAGAGCCAGAGCCAGACTACGTCTCAAAATGAACTGTTCAATAGATATGGTGGATATATGAATATTCATTATTCTATTCATTTTTTTTTTTCTTGAGATGGAGTCTCACCCTGTCGCCCAGACTGGAGTGCAATGGCAAAATCTCAGTTCACTACCACCTCCACCTCCCAGGTTCAAGCGTTTCTACTGTCTCAGCCTCCTGAGTAGCTGAGATTACAGGCATGCGCCACCACACTCAGCTAATTTTTGTATTTTAGTAGAGACAGGGTTTACCATATTGGCCAGGCTGGTCTCAAACTCCTGACCTCATGATCTGCCTACCTTGGCCTCCCAAAGTGCTAGGATTACAGGCATGAGCCACCATACCCAGCCTCATTCTTTTTTCTTTTTTTTTGTGAGACAGTCTTGCTCTATCATCTGGGCTGGAGCGTAGTGGTGCTATCCCAGCTCAATGCAGCCTCAGTCTCCTGGGCTCAAGTGATCCCTACCTCAGCCTCCCCAGCAACTGGGACTACAGGCACGTACCATCACGCCTGGCTAATTTTTGGTTTTTGTTGTTGTTGTTTCTAGTTTTTTATAGAGACAGGGTTTCACCATGTTGCCCAGGCTGGTCTCGAACTCCTGAGCTGAAGCGATCTGCCAACCTCAACATCCCAAAGTACTAGGATTACAGGCATGAGCCACTGTGCTACTCCATTCTTTTTTTCTTTTTTTTTGAGACAGAGTTTTGCTCCTTGTTCCCCAGGCTGCAATATAGTGGTGTGCTCTTGTCTCACTGCATCTCTGCCTCCCAGGTTCAAGCGATTCTTCTGTTTCAGCCTCCAGAGTAGCTGGCAGTACAAGCGCCCACCACCACGCCTAATTTTTATATTTTGAGTAGAGATGAGTCTCACCATGTTGGCCAGGCTGGTCTCGAATTACTGACCTCTGATGATCCCCCTGCTTCGGCCTCCCAAAGTGCTGGGATTACAAGCATAAGCCACCACGCCCGGCCCCATTCTTTTTCTATATAAAATTTTTATAATAAACCAGCTACAAAAAAGAACTTTCATAGGTAATTCAGAAACCCACAGTTAAAAAACATGACATACTGTCATTGACAGATAGAAATCAACTAGTTGGAGGCTGGGTGTAGTGGCTCACGCCTGTAATCCTTGCACTTTAGGAGGCCAAGGCAGGCAGATCACCTGAGGTCCGGAGTTTGAGACCAGCCTGACCAACATGGAGAAACCCCACCTCTACTAAAAATACAAAATTAGACAGTTGTGGTGGTGCATGCCTGTAATCCCAGCTACTCAGGAAGCTGAGGCAGAATTGCTTGAACCTGGGAGGCAGTGGTTGCAGTGAGCCAAGATTGCGCCCCTGCACTCCGGCCTGGGCAATGGAACAAGACTGTCCAAAAAAAAAAAAAAAGATTTAAACTACTGTAGTTATATAGCTCCAACACGCATACTCTTTCAATCCATATTAATGATTTAGTAAGAACTCTTAACTTATTAAATTCTTTATGTAGCTACATAAAAAGTTGTTTTGACTATGAACTTGAATGCTTATTAATTTGGGAATGACTGGTAATGCATTATTAGAAAATTTGAAATTTTAGAAAAAGGATAACAGCTAAATGTAAGTATAGAGTAGAGCTTAGGAAGATAAAGATATTAAGTTATATAAGGCAAAATGATTACATAGACTAAGATAAAAAACATCTTGGCTTAACTGCAGATCAGAAAATGACTATGAGCTAGCACTATGGGTGGGGAAAATTACTGTACTGAAGAAACAAGCACACCACTGGATATTAACAAGTATCTCATGCAGAGGCTAAAAATTACATTCAGCACTGGTAAGACACTATTAAAATATGAAGTACATAAGAACATAAAGACGCTAAGGAAAGTTTTTTTTAAAAGACATGGAATATATAGAAAATCCACAATGCAAAGAGAAATTACAGGGACCATGATTATTCAACTCATAGACAAAAAGGCAGCCAGGCACAGTGGCTCATGCCTGTAATCCCAGCACTTTGGGAGGCTGAGGCGGGCAGATCACGAGGTCAGGAGTTCGAGACCAGTCTGACCAACATAATGAAACCCCGTCTCAACTAAAAATACAAAAAATTAACTGGGTGTTGTGGTGTGCACCTGTAATCCCAGTTACTTGGAAGGCTGACGCAGGAGAATCGCATGAACCTGGGAGGCAGAGGTTGCAGTGAGCTGAGATTGCACCATTGCACTCCAGCCTGGGCGACAGTGTAAGACTCCATCTCACAAAAAAAAAAAAAAAAAACTTTGTAGTTCCGCCGGGCTCATGCCAGTAATCCCAGCACTTTGGGTGGCCAAGGTAGGTGAATCATGAGGTCAGGAGTTCAAGACCAGCCTGGCCAACATGGTGAAACCCTATCTCTCCCAGAAATACAAAAATTAGCCAGGCATGGTGGCATTCGCCTGCAATCCCAGCTACTTGGGAGGCTGAGGAGAATCACTTAAGAGAATCGCTTAAACCCAAGAGGTGGAGGTTGCAGTGACCCAAGACATCACCACTGCACTCCAGCGTGGGTGACACAGCCAAGACTTGGTCTCAAAAAATAAAAATAAATAAAAGATAAAATTACAAATGAGGCGGGGCATGGTGGTTCACACCTGTAATCCCAACACTTTAGGAGGCCAAGGCAGGCAGATCACCTGAGGTCAAGAGTTCAAGACCAGCCTGGCCAACATGGTGAAACCCCATCTCTACCAAAAATACAAAAATCAGCCGGGTGTGGTGGCACGTGCCTGTAATCCCAGCTACTCGGGAGGCTGAGGCAGGAGAATTGGCTTGAACCCAGGAGGCGGAGGTTGCAGTGAGCTGAGATCGAGACATTACACTCAAGCCTGGGTGACAAAGCGAGACTCTGTCTCAAAGAAAAAAAAAAATTACAGATCAATGGGGGTCTTAAAGGTAAAAATGTGCTATGAATCATTTGATGTGTTCCCTCCTAGAAGACAGGGTGTTTGGTAGTTACAACTTCATGCAAGCTCTATTATTTTACTTTATACTTATCCTTCTTAATTAAGGAGCTGCAGATACTCTATTTAAATGTAAAATTCATTCTATTCATAGGTAAGCTATGGTCGTTAAATTATTTAAAATTTTATATATTACTATGGGCTTTTTTACACAACAGTTATACAGCCTTAAAAGAAAATAGGTTAAATCGTGGCCCAAACATATTAAGTCATAATAGCAAATACTGAAAGAATCAGTGCTTCATACATTTTCAAAAAAATCAAACAGGGAAATAATACTGTACCTGCCGAAACCTCTTTTTTATTTCTTCATCTGTAACTTCAGGATCGATCTGAAGAACCTGGAAGTATCAAAATCAAAACCATAAAAAAGGTGAAAATAAATTAGATGTATATTTAAGAAGTGCTCAGTAATTATATATATTATAATCAGCATCTAGAATAGTACCTCATGGTCTAGAACACAGGCTGGCACACAGTTCTAGAAATCGTTCAAGAAATATGAATAATCAAATCAATTGTAACAATTATATTGTTTTATGGTTCTCAATTAATATAATGCTTATTTTCTCTTCATCAGAAAAATAATTTATTTTATACCCAGAGACATTTTTACATGAGAAAATTTTGCATTTTTCCTTCATTCATTAAAAAGTTTAACTCCCCCCTCCCTTTATCTTTGCAAATGTCAAGAAAGCATAGTAACAAAAAAGAAAAAATTAGGCCAGATACCTGTTCATCTCAATCCAGAAATTGACACTTTATAATTTACATGGCCCAGGGGTTCTTAATCAGAGTGAATATTAGAATCACCTGTGGAGGCCGGGAGCAGTGGCTCACACCTGTAATCCCAGAACTTTGGGAGGCTGAGGTGGGCAGATCATGAGGTCAAGAGATCGAGACCATCCTGGCCAACGTGGTGAAACCCTGTCTCTACTACAAATACAAAAATTAGCTGGGCATGGTGGTGTGTGCCTGTGGTCCCAGCTACTCGGGAGGCTGAGGCAGGGGAATTGCTTGAATCCAGGAGGCGGAGGTTGCAGTGGGCCAAGATTGCGCCACTGCACTCCAGCCTGAGACTTGGTGACAGAGTAAGACTCTGTCTCAAAAAAAAAAAAAAAAAAAGAATCACCTGTGGAAACCTGCCAGCAATGGCTTGCCACTTTAGGAAAATCTGATTCCAATCCAGTAGAGTGGGGGTAGTGCCAATGGCTGGAAAAACCCCATTTTTTAAGCAACACTTCTTTAAACAAATTTTTTTTTTTTTTTTTTTTTTTGGGGGGT